CTCCAATAATTCTCCTAAAAGGAAATGGTTTTTTATAAAAAACTCTCTTAAACCTTGAAAAATTGAAGTCTGGGTAAACCATAATGTTAGATGTATCTAAATTTTAAATAATATTCTTTTACTGTAAAGGGGTGTTAAAAAAAGGATATCTTGTATTTTTAAACTAAATTTCTTTAAATCTATAATCTGAACAATACTTGTTTTTGATATCCCATAGACGGATAGAGTCATCTCTACTACCAGAAGCTAATGTATTTCCATCAGGAGAGAAACAGACTGACCAGACAGTTCCACTATGACCATCTAATTAATTTAATTCATGGACTTTAATGTTCTTCCATTTACAATTGAGTATCTAAGCTCCATTAAAATTAACACCATTTATGTCCACATTTTCAAATTAAGATCCATTCATATTGCATCGTACAAAGTTACCTCCAAATAATGAAGTGTTTTTTATCCTGATATTCTCAAAAAGAAAGTTTACTAAGATCTACCTTCATGGCCACAAATAAACTTAGTCCAATTGATCCACTTTAAATCTATTTTACATCTATGCTTGTAAGGATTACTAAAAATTTGATGAAATCTGTGATCCCTTTGTTATCCTTCATTCTCTTTATTAGATCTTATCTTGCCTTCTCATAAGTCTCTGAAGAATAATCATCCTTACTAAATTTATGATCCTAAATATTTCTCAATACATTTGTTATTTTCTATACCTACTTAGTCATATCCTACATATTAACTTGCTCATTGATTATAGATTCAACAAAGATTTGATTATTTGTCTTAGAAAGGAATCCTAAGATGTCTGAAACTTTTTCTTTTCTAAGTATTTAAAGAATCTTCTTATAGATAGTTTCATCAATATCCTGGATGTAAGTAAAGATGTCATAAAGATTATCTTTCATTTGATAAACTTCTATTTCTTTCCTTAATTTATGATTAAAATATTTACTTAATTAATGATAGAATCTATTGAATTCTTTGGTTAGACTTTTCAATAAAAGTTTTTATATGTTAGTCCCACCAACTCTTGGTCTTCTCTAATTCAATCATATAAGAATTCTTGTAAGCATTCCAATCAGACAGAGTTGTTCCTTCTACAATGTTTACTAATTTTTCCAAGTCTGTGTAGGAGGATTGAGCCAGATTAGTATTTTCGTTGATGAAGTTTAAGCATGATTAATTTTGCTGTTCATTCAACATTTATTTGATTTTAGAGAGCAAAGATTTAAAGTCCATCCTCTATTTTGTTAATTCGGAGGTATCATTAAGCTTGGAGTCTTTTAATTTCTTGAGGGCCATTTCTAAAAATTTTTTCAGAGATATTGTATGTTTACAATCTACTTCATGCTCATCTAGACATTCAGCACAAAGTTTCCTTTAGCATTGGCATTTATGAGGAGCTTTGCATATTAAAGTGATATATCATTCGAGATAAATGATTGATTGATTAATTCTTTTTGTTGATTCTCTTTTTGGTATAAAAAATGGTAATTTATCAGCTGAATAAGTAAGGAAAAGGTTTAAAAAAATTTGACTCCCCTTTTGATATTAATAAAATGTTTATTGAAATTGTCCAAAAAGAACAACTTCATTTTTAGCTTTTCATTTTCTGTTTTTCTTTTTATGTGTTAGAGACAATTTCAACTTTAATCTTCTGCTTTTAATAACCGAAGACAGGTGAGGTCTCCTTTATTACATCAACAGCTGGAAAAAAGGTTGGTTTCAGATATTTTGATTTTTTTTCATAATTAAACACATTATGGTCTTGTTTAGGAAGGTGGAAAAACAGCTGATAAAGTTTTTTGATCTTAAATTATGGAAATTTACATCAAATATCTATGCTGATCAAGTTTAATACTGACTTACTAATAACACTATCATGTTCTGAAAAAGATGGAAATATTATTCATTCATTATTCCAGAAGATGGTTTCAAAACTATATTAGTCGAGACATTCAATTCTGAATGAATCATTTACAAAAAGCTTTTATGCAAATTCTAATTATGCAGCTAGGAAACTCTAATACACCTTTTATTTTGAATTTTCTCTGACTATTGAGAAAAAATATTGAGCTGCATTTGAAATAGCATTCAAACCTTTGAGTTATCAATCCACTATAAATTGCTCAATGTTTTGAAGCTGCTAAAAAAAGGCTAATACATAAGTGATTCACTAATTCTACATGTACTGCATATGGGGTACATGATCTTTAAATGACCAATTTGTCTTCTTATATGTTATTAAAACAAATGGAATGACTGATTAGTATTTGACTGGATTAAAGTTTGGTGAACAGAAAATGAATTGAATATCAAAGCAAAACCAGTTTCTTTGAATAATATAAACCCAGGATAAGTTATTATATATTCGAAGGCTAAAATTGCATGGCATGGAGAACAACATAATCAAAGTTATATCAACCTAATCATTAACTTTAAAAGGATGAAAAGAATAATATTTTGTTAAACTGAGATTGATCCATTCCTTGATTTAATTAAAAATTGAGTGTTTTTAAAGCTAAAAGTAGATACAATTAATTCGTGTGAATATGAATGAGAAGCTAATGTATTTGGTCGTAATGGATATGAATGCACATTTTCTTTTCATCAATGCAAAGATTATGCTTCTGAAAAGATTGCTTTTATTTTTTAGTTTTATTGTTGGTTTTCACATATTGATTTATATATTTAATTCCAATCAAACTATAATAAATATAAATTTTTTGTTGCTAATATTTAGAATAGATTACTTTTAAACGTAAATAAATTTATTTTAATCTTTAGAAGAGTAATTTATCAATCATAATCATTTTTCAATTTTAAAGTAACACTAATTCTAAAAGTATAAATTTAAAATATTATAATTGTGATGTCATATTTCTTATTGTTGATTTTGTTGTAAAATTCAAAATATGTCTTGATAATATTTATGAAAATAGGTAAAGTATTTTTTTATTTAGTAAGGAATATACTCATTAATTTCATATGTAATATGTAGAATATTCGATATCATAAAAGAATTTAAGTCTGTTATAAGAATAGGCACATTTTGCATAAACACATTTTTAATTGTCTTTTGATATTTGTAATAAGTATTAAGATCATAAAATTAGAAACCCTCAAACTTTTTTGTTATAACAAAAATGGTGATATAAGAAATAACTTGGATTTTGAAAAACCCCCAAAATTTATCTAATTTTACTTTCTATTTCATAACACCTTTTGATAAATTATTCTTCGTTTGATTTGAAATGTTGTTAAATAATATGTTTTGTAGAACCTTATGTATTTTGCATCTAATATTACTAAATTTTAATTATTTAATATTATTTGGGCAATTATGTAAATTTTTCTTCTTTAAGCAAAAATTGTTAATATAAGTATTTCAAATTAATAATTAGTTTATTCATAACAGTATCTTTTATATCATTCATCTTTTCATGTCTGATATATTTTTAGGAAGTCCTGTAATTTTTTTAAAGCTGTTTTTATCGACTATTTAAATTTATTTTTAGTATTTATTTATTTTTTCGAAACCCATTGCTGCTGCTACAAATTGAAAGTGAAGTTAATCTTTCTATGTGATCTTTAAAACTTCTCAATCGATTAATTGATATTTGAAGGTATATATATTTTTAACTATAGGAAAACCCATAATTCTTCCTTCTTTCATTCGATTTTTATATTGAAAAATCTTTGTTTATTTTCAGATTTTATATTTCACTTTTTCTTATCAAAATTTCTTGAATTATTTTATTTTTCGATGTTAAATGATAAATACTTAATCATCAGCATACTAAAAGTCTTCATATCAGCTTTAAAATTCTTGTTTATTCTATATTAACATATCATTTAAGAATATAATAAAGAATTAGTTGTAAAATAGATCCTTTGGTAATCAATTCGAAAAACTATATTTTTATTTATTGATAGGATCTGAATAATGAATTTAATTATATAATGCTTATAGAAAGTCAATTTCATCATTCTCTAATATTTATTTATTTTTTGATATTTCAAATAACAAAACTCTATTCAAAAGTATTGTATGTATTCAGGATTTGAGAAGTCAATAAAAATAATGTGGATTTTATATTTCCTTCCTATGAATTCATCAATTTAATTAAAGAAAATTAATAACATATGTGCCTCCATTTCTTACAAAAGAATTTTATTTATTAGATACTTAAAGTGTTAAGAATTAATCAATTTAATTCTTAGAAATATTAAGATATGCTTTATTTAATGGTGTCAATCTTTTTTCACAAACCTAATGATTAAGATCTAATGTATATCAATTCCATAAATTTTGTAACAATTAATATTTTTTACATTACTTTATTGCTTTGTCTGAGAAGGCATCTATAATTATAGCTTTATCGTTCTATATTAGCTTTTATAGTTCATTTATTTATTAAATGTTTAATTCTGGTAAATATGGTAATTTCATTTGTTAATATTTGATTCTTTTCGATATTATATCCATTCACTTGAAGCATTTGCAAAAAAAAAGTCTTCCTCCAATCAAATCTTCCTTTTCATTAAGACAAAATTTGATAATTCCAATTAATTTTGAAAATAATGATAAAAAGTATGCATTTAAAATGATGAATATATTAAAAATTTTAATCCTAATAAAAAAGAAGGTGTTTTTATTAGATTGCTTTTGATATATTTATAAAATTCTTCAAAATTATTTGAATTAATATTATTATTATTATTTATTTGGTTTAAAACAAGTGCCATCCTTGAATCTCTAAGAGAATAACTCTGGAGATGGAGAAGAAATCTTAAATATGATCGTAGTCTTTTTATTCAGATTAATTTTATGGAGATTGTCTAAAAGAATCTTAATCACACTTCAGAGGCACTATTATTCTTGAAATAAAAGTCAGATCACTGACCTTTAACTATATTCTTGTCAATTAAATAAGTGAACCTATTAACAATACTAATAATAAAACCAGAGTGAATTCCTGTGTATTTGAATAAACATAAGGAAGTCAAAGATGTCTATTCTTACTATAGGTATGTAAGAGACCTAAAGATTTTTAAATTAAATAGACAAAATATTATTAAGTTTAAAATAGATCCTTCTTCGAATAGATAGAAATTATAAAAGCCAAGTTATGTTCTAATGAGTTTATAAAATACCATAAATTACTATAATATTTTAAAAATTTCATTCGATCAAAATAAAAAGGTTCAAAATGAATAGTGTCAAAACAATAATAGTATGGTATAAGTTTAGAAAGAAGTTCTTCATTTAGGTACATTAAAATTGAATTCAATGAAAAAGTTTAGGGTTAAGATTATGAAATTTACCCTTCTTAGAACTTCCCTATAACTTTTACAAAGATACAATCAAAACAACTAGGAGCTAATAAAAAAGCAGAGTCTTTTGAACTGCTTAACTGAAATATTTTGCGGTTTTCTCTTTAAAAGAGTTTTACAATTTAGCTTTGAATCAATTAAAATTTTCAATATCTCGTAGTTAAGTAATAGAATATTAAAAGTAAATTCTCGTTTTAACGAAGTTAAATAATCAAAATTAGTAAGTTATCGATATATTAAGAAAGATACTCAAAGTTCTTTTAACAAAGAGAACTTGACCTACTTTAATGGATTTATGACTTTTTATATATTTATGGGCCAGTTGATGAAAGAAAAGTTTTTTTAAATATAATTTTCATTAAGGATCAATATTAGTACGTTTCCTATTTGGCATTCAATTATTAGGTATATAATGTAATACTTTTAATTTAGAATATTTCTTTTATTGATGTTTGATGATTGAGCAATTTTCAATTATGAATGAATTTTCAATTTAGATAAATATGAAAAAACTTTTGGTTTAACTAAGGCAATAACTTATCACCCTAGTTAAAAGAGTTAAAGAATTTTAATCTTAGTTTTTACTTTCATAATTAAGGTGATATAAATAAACTTAGATCTCATATCAAAACTATAGCGAATTTCATTGATGGGTGATTACATTAAATAAATTCCTTCCATTAAGTTATATACTTCAACTTTGGAATAAATTTCTTAAGCAATGTTTCCAGTATATTTCCCCTTATCTTTATTTAACACGAAGAAAGCTAAGTCTTTATGAGAAAATTAAAAATATACTTCTTAAAATTAAAATTAAGATAACCTAAGTATCTTCAAATTCTCTGATAGACGAAATATGGTTTTCAAATATTTTGAATCTTACTAAAAACTAATAAGAAATGGAGATGATTATCTTTTTAAAATAATAATATGAGGAGTTAGCGGGAAGAAAAGATTAAAAACCTAATTCTATCCAAGCTTTGGATATTTATATAGATTTAAGTATATTTGATTATATTGTAAAACTTTTGGATTAGGAGTATGATTGTCTCTTTATCATCTAGCTCATCATAATTCTAAATTATTCGTCAAATATAAAGATTTTAAGAGGACCTAACAGAAAGAGAATTAACCTCGATGAAACAATATTGGATGATGGCTGTCAATTTAATTGAGTTCTAAAAATGACATTTTAATAAAGAATTTTAAATGGAAATAACATTTCAAGAAATGCATTTTTTTACAATATCAATGAAAAATTTACGGTTTTTTTTAGGAAATAGTCTTATAAATTGTAAAAGTAAATGAGAGAAAATTTTAATGAAGCCCAATTAGGTCAAAGAGGAGGAGAAATCTATAATAATGAAAAAAATAGATGTTAATTAGTTAAATATACTAAAATCTCAATTAATTCAAGTTATTGAGAAATGAACACCTCCAGAGATATAAATCTCAAAAGTAATAATCAGATAAGACCACCAATAACATTAATTTAAAAAAGTAGTTTTATCAAATGAACTTTCTTTTTAAAAGGGAGAAAGAGAAAAAGAGAAAAATTGTTCAAGAGACAATAATTCAAGAAGAAAAATAAACTTCAAGCAGTTCAGAAAAATAAAATATGCCATTAAGGCTAAGAAAAGTTTAGAAAGAAGGAAGGGCTTTAGTGATATACCGGAAGAAATCAAGAAAGAGCGTCAGTACCAGTGAAAATATATTTTATGAGTCCCCCAGAAGTCATATATTCATTGAAATTAAGAAATGTGATTTAAATATTTCTGGATAAGGAAGTGTTTTCCATTTTCCAGTTTTCATTACTTCAAAAAAAATTATGAAATCAATTAATATATCTTCACAAACGCATTTAATTCTCCATAAGTCCACCAACATTTAACCCTTAATTCCCTTTTAAATAAGTTAATGATGAAGAAATAATAATTGGTGTAAAGTGAATATTCATTTATATTAATAAAATGAAAATCTGTCATTACATTTCACATAAACAAGGCTTAATTGTCAAAAAAAGAAATAAATATTATTTTCTTATTTTTAATGAAATAAAAACAGAAGTCTCCAAAATTGTTAATTAATGAAAAGAATATTAGTAATTTATAATAAAGGAATATCAATATTAAAAAATGTAAATGGCCAATTAAGGAAAAAAAGGAATGTCTTAAGTTTATGCGAAAAGATTTAAGTGAATTATTATAATTAAAGAGAAAGTTGAGGTTTTTACAGAGATTTCCAAAAAAAAATTGATATTTATCATGACTACAGGTTAAGCGTTTTAATAATATTCTTTTAGTGGTAATAAGTTATTATTTGAAGGTAGCATTCAGACGGATTTCAAGCATTAAAATGGAATATAAAAGAAGAGAAAGATTTAAAATGATGTTTCTTAATAACTGGAGGAAGTTACTTTGACATTTTAGGAAGACATGAAAAATTACACATTTGTATTTTTATCCACATAATTGTAGATTCACTAAATATAAGAATGAACGTAAATTTTCTTATGGCAAAGAATTTAGTTGATAAATAAAAGTCTTTCAATAAAAATTACAATAAAACAAAATCAAATTAGAATTTACAATTAAAATCCTTTTTGTAACAACCTTTCATAAATATCATTAAGCTTCTGTTATTCTGTTTATTCATAAAATATGTCAAAATCAAAAGTAATCTCTTTGAATTCTTCATAGGGTTTTAAGCAAATTGATAGATATAAAATGAGTAAATTATAATCTATTGCTTAACTTTTTATATTGATAAGTTCTTTAATATTATCTCCAATAATTTCATGATACAAATGATAAAAACCTTAATCAATTTTGAATGAATTGTTATTAAAATTTTCAATTTCTAAAATAAAATTCTTTTTCTTCTTCGATATTTATTTCTTTAACAGATTAATATCTACTGTTTTATTGAAGGTGTTGGATATTTGTTAAAAAAAATCGAAAGAATACTTCAAATCTTTTTAGATTAATGATTTTAATTTCTTAAATTCCTAGAAAATGAATTTATTATTACTTCAGATAATAAAAAACTATTCCATGTTTCTTAATTAAACTTTTCATGAACCTTCTTTGTAAATTATTCATTTACTCTTTCTAAATGGATTAATTAATTTTTAGCAATAAAAAAAAGTAATCCATAATAACTTTCATTAGGCAGCATCAATTATTGTTATTGCAGCAAAATAATTTTTTAGGCAACAAAATTAAAAAAAAATGAAACATTTCTTTCAAATAAAAAGTAATTATAATATTTTAGCATAGCTGCTTTTCTTTTTGTCTCAATTTATTAATTACGAAGAAGAATTTCACTCTATTGCTTAAAGAAAAAACTTTTACATTTAGATCTTATTCATAATTAATTGATTTTGATCTAACTTCACCAAAACTCTTCAAAGCAATTTCCTTTTGCTTTTCAAGAACCACAATATGATCTTATATTAAATATCTAGCCACTAAATATTGCTCAAGATAACACTTATTAATTAAAATTGATTTGCCTAGTTCATCTTGATATTATTATTAATAAGAAACCTTTTTCTTGAAATATATTTATGAAGTCTGGCTGATTGATTTGCTCTTATTTTTTTAGAATTTAGCACTCAAATACTTCCTACCAGGATATTCTATCACTTTCTTCAATTTGTAGCATTTTAGTTATAAGTTCCTTCACTCCTTTTGATCTGAAAGGTTTATTAGGGTATGATATTGGCTAAATGAAATATTTAAAATACTTATTTTTGGACATTTTCAAAAAATGATTCAAAATCTTAGCCTTCCCATGGGACGCGACCATAAAGAATTTCATAAAATGTGACTCCCAAAGACCATATATCAGATTTTGAAGAAAATGGCTTTCCTTATAGAATTTATGGAGCCATGTATAGTGGTGTACCCATTTTCGTAAGTGATGTTGGAGCTAATTAATTAAAATGCTAAATTGAAAACCATTCATATCTGAATCTATCACGCAAGCTATGCTAAAATCAGTAATTTTTGCTATTCCCTCATGTAGTAAGATGTTGCCCGGCTTAATATTACGATGTATTATTTTATTCTAATATAAAATTTTAAAGCCTTCAACAATATGATTGATAAAGAGTATTGCTTCAACCTATCATAAATTAAAGTTTTACTTCGCTAAGTCTATTTTCTTTCTTTTTTGCCATGTATTTTTTGAGGTTTCCATCTGCACAATATTCAAGGATTATATACACATAATTATTGGTACGAATGATATCAATCATTCTTATAATATTTGGATGATTGATTTTTTAAAGGATTGCAATTTCTTATTTAAACAATTCAAGAAGCTTTGGATTTTCACCAAACACCTAGAAGGTCTTGCTTATGATAAAGTTACGGCTATTTTGACCATCTTTACAGCGATTAGTTTGGTTTCATCATCTTTGTAGAAACCTTTATATAAACAACCAAATGCTTCACAACTCAATTTTTCATTAATAACAATATATTTTGTTACTTGCTTTGTAATCCAATTGGCTTCCATTTTAAATATAAAATAATAATTAAATACATCAAGTTGATTAAAGGAAATTATCAACAAATAAATCTAGATGCAGACTTTTATGTCATGGCAATTGTATGAAAAAAATATTTGAAATATAATAGAAGTTTTAAATACTTGAGATGAAATTATTTTTGATCAATTCTCTTTTTAGTACTGTTAATTACAAGTAAAATGTTTGAGATAGAGGTATATTATTAATCAAAAACAATATTATAAAATTATAATCCTATATTCGACTTTATGAATTCTGTTCAAAATAGAATTAATTAATATATATAAAAATGATATTATTATTTATATAAACAGAATATTGAGATCTTAAGTACCCTTCGTTTTAAATAATTGGAATTTATTAGATTAATCTTTAATAAATTACATCAAAAGTGAAAATAGTTATTCAATGCCATTTGCTTTGATTTTCGGAATGAAAACCTTTTTTGAAGTGTAAATTTAACACAATTAACAAATTATGAATATAAGAATTAAAATTATTTTCCTCTAGAATATTAGTTTAATTAAATATAATGATTAATGAAATATTATCAATGATTGTCTTAATAATAATAGCATTTTTCATTGCCATTATTATTAAATATGCCATCGATTCATATATGATGGATTAGGAGTAAAGTAAGGATTAAACTTATAAAATTTTTAATGCAAATGAACTTCAAAAAAGACAGAATCTTAAAGAGATTCAATAAGAATAGGAATTAATTTAAGAAAATGCTAATTAAGATGAAAATGATTCCTATGACAATACATAAAAAACAATATTTTCGATTAACAAAATTTCAACTCCTGTAAATAATTTAAATCAAAGCAAATCAGAACAACCAAATATCGATAAAAATTCAAAATAAGAAAAATAAAAAAAGAATAAATAGAGTGAAAAATTCTTGGTTGAGGATATACAAATACAAACAACTTAATTCAAAAAAGTATTTGAAAACTAATTTAAATAAGAAAATTATTAACTATTTACATAAGCATAGGAAGAAAGTAAGTTAGTTTTAAATCCGATTATGCCAAAATAAGTTAAAAATTAATAGGATGACATTAAGAATGTGATTCTTGGTTTATATAGTATCAACGATAATTATATTCCAGATAAAGTTTTTATTAGCAAAATATTAAACTAAAATTAATTAGAAAAAGAATTAGGAGTAAATAATAAGGCAATTTCAATACAGTTAAAGGAAAGGCTAAACGGATTTAGAAAAGTAAAGGATGATCCCAATAGTCTTTTTGCCGCCATTTCTTTTTAGTTTCTAGAAAATGCTTTAAATTAGCCTACCTTAAACTAATTTTAAAATGAATTGAGTTGGATTAAAACAATAAATGTAATCATTAAGAGTAGGTAATTTTTGATTGATGAGAAAATATTTTAGAATCAACAAAGCTAATTTTTATAGATAATGTTAGAAATTTATTAAATGGAGAACCCAGTTGACTAATTAGAATCATTAATGAATGATAGACAAAGCCTCTTTTATGGGCTCTCTATTATTTTCTTTAGAAATTTGATATCATAATTATTAAATACTTAAAATGCTTATGAAAATGAAATAGCAGAAGAGATTTAGTATTGGGAAAATAATTTACTCGATGCTTAGAAAGTTTTTGATTTGTTATCAAATAGGCTTAATATGTATATTTATTGATAATATTTAGTTAAATTCACTAATATAATATCAATAAAGTGAAAGGTTCAGTAGACATTCAAATTTATGGATAAGATGATGATAAATAAATACATTTACTTTGTTCAGATGAGCATTATGATATTGGAATTAGAATAGACGATTGATGATTTATTATAAATATCAATTATTCTTATTGAAATTAAAATCATAATATTAATATGTAAAATTAAAATAAGTAAGTGCTTGTCCCAGTTGGTGATGGGTGTGAAGAAATTGAAACCGTGGCAATAATCGATATATTACGTAGAGCAAATATTGATGTTACCTTTGCATCTATTAAACCTGTTGAAGATGAAAAAGCTCCTTTGATTGTGGGTAGATCTGGAATATCTTTTATTTGTGATACGTATTTAACTGAGACAGTTTTGAAATAGCAATTTGACCTGATAGCTCTTCCAGGAGGATTATCAAATGCATAATCATTAGGAACTCATTAACCATTGGTATTATAGAAGTTTAATTTGATGATAGTTGGATCGATTAAGATAACAGTAGGAGGAAGGGAAATGGATAGCTGCCATTTGCGCTTCTCCTTAATTGGTTTTAGACAAGAATGGTTTTATGATTAATTCAACAGGAACCTGTCATCCTGCTCATGTTTAGGATTACAAAGGATAATTTTCAGAGGATAGAGTACATGTTAGCAACAAGTTTATTACATCTAGATCTCCAGGAACAGCTATAGAATTTGCATTAGCCTTGGTTGAATTATTGGTAGATTAACATACAGCAGTTTAATTGGCAAAATCCTTATTAGTAAAGCGATGAAATTTAAACTAATATTGAGTTTATAGATAATTATAATATTGATTAATATTTATTTACATCTTATTCATCTATTTGAATGTGTAAAACTCTAAAAATTAAATATAGAGATAATAAATACATTAGGAACAGTAGGTCGAAGTACTTTTTTATCATCAACAACAGAATCATCACCTATCTTCTTTGGATCATAAACATCTTTAGTAAAGTTTGTGCCATACTCTTCAATTTCAAATTTCTTTAATAATTTTTGCATAAGTTCCTTAAGTTAGACTATATGGTATATACTTCACTGTCAGGTTTTTCTCTGGCGCTTTTGAGTTTTTTACTAATAAAAAAATCTGAAGTTCCTTTCAAAGAAAGCTGGATTGAATTGTTAATCAATTCATCTAAATTTGCACTTAAATTAGGCTGTGGCAATTTATTTAAGAGTTGCTCTCTTTTTTTTTCCTATTCTTAATATGTGGGATCACGATGATATAATTATTCCATTTATAATTTAATATATATAATTTATATAAGACGTCAGTGTTTTAAGTATGAGTCAATATTATTAAATATAATGAATAGGTTGGCTCTCTATGCTAATTAGTTGGCTCATCACTTGACAATCACTGATAATAGAACTGGCAAAACTATTGAGGTTCCAATCAGTACATCCAGAGAAAGCGATTTTATCCATGCGACAAAATTGGGTGCTCTTTAATATCAAGGTCAGCCTTTGAGAGTTTATGATCCAGGTTATATGAACACAATATGCTGCGTAAATTATAAATCTGAATATTCTTAGACATCTAAAATATCCTACATTGATGGAGACAAGGGAATTTTGGAATATAGAGGAATACCTATAGAGGAATTAGCAGAGAAATCAACATTTGTTGAAGTAGCTTACTTACTGATTAATGGTGAATTACCAAGCAAGAGTTAATTGTAGGAATGGGATGAAAAGCTTAGAAAGCATACATTCATCCATACAGATGCATCTTAAATGATGAAGAGCTTTAGATATGATGCCCATCCAATGGGTATGTTAATTTCAACTCTAGCTGCTATTTCAACTTTTCATCCTGAAGTTAATCCAGCTTTAGCAGGAGAAGGAGTTTATAAGAATTAAGACATTGTGAATAAATAAATTTATCGTATTTTGGGATCATTACCTACTATTGCATCTAATAGTTTTAGAAATAGAATAGGTAGAGAACATAATATGCCCCATGAGAATATGAGTTATGTGGAGAATTTCTTATATATGCTTGATAAATTGAATGAAAAGGAATACAAACCACATCCTAAAATTACAAGAGCATTAGAAGTCTTATTTATTTTACATGCAGAGCATGAATTAAATTGTTCTACTGCATTTGTTCGACATTTGAGTTCAAGTGGAGTTGATATCTATACTGCCATAGCTGGTGCTGCTGGTGCCCTCTATGGACCTAAACATGGAGGAGCTAATGAAGCAGTCCTCAGAATGTTGGAAGAGATTGGGGATCTAAAGAATATCCCATAGTTTATAAAGGATGTAAAAGATAGAAAAAAATTGTTAATGGGTTTTGGACATAGAGTTTATAAAAATTATGATCCAAGAGCTAAGATTGTCAAATAGATTGCTTATTAAGTCTTTGAAATTACTGGCAAAGAGCCATTGATTGAAATAGCAATTGAATTAGAGAAGATTGCTTTATCAGATCCATATTTCATTTAAAGAAAATTATATCCAAATGTTGATTTTTATAGTGGGGTTATCTATAGAGCTTTGGGATTCCCAACTGATATGTTCCCAGTATTATTCACTATTCCAAGAGTTGCTGGATGGTTAGCACATTGGAAGGAATATTTGAATGACAAAGAAAATAATATAGTCAGACCAAGATAAAATTATATTGGGCCTGAGAAAAGAAATTATGTACCTGTTGATTAAAGAAAAGAGGTAATGAATTAATTTATTTTAATAGTTTCCTATCTATTTGGAATCAAATAAAAGTAGTAGATAAAAGAGAAGAGAAACAGCAACATTATCTTGATTTAGGATATTAAAATATTATTAATAGTATATTTTTTTATATACTTTTTTCAATAATCATTAATTATTTTATATTATGTTTTCTAAGAAAATTAAGAAATAAGAACTTAAATTGATTGACAACGATAAAGATGATGATTAATAATAGCATCCAAATGTTAATTAGCATCCATAAATAGAAAAATCAATTTAGAAATAAAAAAGAGTTGGGATTAATGTTTAGTAATTAGCAAAAGAAAAATAAATCTGTCAAAAAAAGTCAGCCACTAATAATGAAAGAGAAAGAAATTTTCTTAATTAAGATTCAGCTCGAGGATTAACGAGCATAAACTATATTAAATAAAAAACTGAGAAACCAGATAAGCTCATGGAAAAATATGTCTAAGAAAAAATTAAGAGTGTTGATCCATTAGCTTTCTGCGGTCAGGTTGAGAATGTTTAAGATGAATAATAACGAGATGCTGAACTCTTAGAAGAAATTCGTGAGGTATATTATTTGCTTCTATCTCTTTTCAGACTTAAGCCAAATTTTTATCAAAAAACGAAGAAAAAGACCCATCATTTTATGTCGGTGGTATCATCCAAGTGAATTTATCTCTTGAGTAATATATTTATTTTATCAATTAGAGAGGAAGCATAAAAGTTAGCATAAATGGAGGATTTAAAAAGAGATCAATATATTTAAACCATTATTTAAGGAAAACCAAAAAGAGCAGCACCAGTAGTTGTGCATCCAGATGAAGAAGAGGACAAAGAGACTAAAGCATTTAGAGAACTTAAATCAAAGTTTTACCAAAAAGGAAGAAGTATATTTCTAAAATAAATTTTAGTTTATAAATACTAATAAATGAAAAAAACAATAGATAATATTAAACCTGAAATTGAATAATCACAAAACCATGAAAACATATAATGATATTTGTTTCAACTTTAATTTAATTATTTTAATAATTACTCAATTATTGAAAACTTCATTTATCTTTCTTATATGTGTAGAAACTCCAACATTAATAATATATAAAGTTTTGAATGAATATCTATATATATTTTAAATTAATGAAAATTTTGATTCTCATATTTTTGGCATTATCATTAGCTAAGGAAGATTATTATAAAATCTTAGGATTAACAAAAGGAGCTGATTTGGAAAGTGTAAAAAAATAATTTAGGAAATTATCTTTGAAATATCATCCTGATAAAAATGATTCTCCTGGAGCTCATGAAAAGTACAAAAAAATAACCCATGCTTATTAAGAAATAATTGATGGCAATGCAGATAAAGATGATGATGAAATGCCTTTCAACAATAGACGATATTCTTAACCATTTACTAGAACATACACATTCACAGATGATCCATTTAGAAGAACTTATCAGACATACAGTGAATTTTCTAATCAAAAACATGATAGCTTCTTAAGTATCAACTCAATTTTTGCTATTGGAATTATTTTACTTTTTGGATTTGTAATTATGAACATTGTGAATAATTCATAAGAAGAAGGTAAGGAAAATTAATCGGCTAATTAATAATAATAGAATAATCAAAAGTATGAAAATTAATAGTATAAAAGTCAACAATAAGACAAGAGTTAGACTTAGTCAAAATAATTTACAGAAACATAATCAAAATTTACTAGATTGAACCAGGATATAAAGGAGAAGGTTTCAAATGTTTCTTCCTATACAGAATCTAATCATAGATTCTAATTTTATGAGAATTTTAATTAATGATTTGAATTGCTAAGTTTTTTATTATATTAAACAATTCAATTCCAGAATTCTATATTAATTTCTGAAAATAATTTAATAAATATAATATTACAAACTCTTGAAACCAATATATTCAGAAATTATAAATATTTTTCATTCAATTTCAAATTATCATCCTAGTTGATCTTTATATATTTTAATAGAATTGGAAATTACTTTCTATTTTTTATGTTCTATTATAAAAAATATCAAAAATACTCAATAAATAAGTATTATTATTTATTATGGATAAAGAATTATTAATTGATTGTCTTTACAATAAAGAACTCATCAAATAACATCTTTCTTAAACAAGAAAAGCTTAAAATGATATTTTAACAAAGAAACCATCATCTTAATTTTATCATGTGCAATCCTCCAAATATGGAGTTAGATAGCCAGTTTAAATAAAGAATCCTTTACTTATCAAATCTTTATTCTCATCTAGAAAATTTTCAAAAGAGAAAGATATATCACTTCCTATATGTGCATTTAAAATTTTACCTACATAAACATTGGCTTCATTTTAGACAGATCGTATACATAGCAGATGTCCTGCATTTAAGAAGCTTAAACTAAAATTGGGATTGAAATAAGCAAAAAGTGTTCCAGATGAATAATTTAGAATTGAAACGGCTCCTGTTTAATGTAGAAGCTAAACTAATACAAAATAATCAATTAATACATTATTAAAAAGTTAACCTAGTTATGAAAAAAAGACAAAAAAGTCAGAACCTGCATTTACATTTAACAAAAATGATTGGGGTATTGGTGGTTGGAATATAATAGAAGAAAATTATGATGCAAAGATGTTTATAGATTGATGGGAGATATAATAAAACTACTAGAAATATAATGTTATTCAAATTTCTCATTTAGATATTTATTAACTTATTTATCTATTTTTATTTGCTTTAAATTTCGATTTAATATAAATATTTATTGATAATAGACATGAAAAATTATACGATAATGTGTTTATGAAGAGGATTTTTCAATCTTCAATTTTAATAATTAATTTTGTTCTTTTGGATCTACGTTTTTTAACAAAATTAACTATCATGAAATCTGTGAAGTTTTAACAATCTTTATTTTGATTTAATTATTCTAAAATTTTATGAGAATTCATATGAGTCATGTAATTTTAAAAATCCTAGCATTTATCAAATTCTTCATAAATATCTTTGTAAGTTCCCATATATTATTAATTTATAAAGTCAATTGCTGGACTTATTTCCTTCAATTCTGATGAAGAAGATAAGCTATCTTCGGAAAAAGAAGAATTTTGCATCTCACTTAATGTAGGTGGAACATTATATTGGAATTATTTTGTAGATTAATTAATTGATTTAAAAAGAAGAGATTTTGCTACATCCTAAGTTATTTTATTATGTTCTATTGGATTAATTTCATCTTAATTTTTATCTATGTGGGTCTTAAATTTTTTTATTTCTTTAAGTTATGGGGTTTATTATTCTGATTCACAACCAGAAACATTTTTTGAAATTGATTCCAAAGCAGCTTTAATTTTGTCTTCTTACATTGATTTAAAATTTAAAAGAGAATTACTTAAAAATCCAGGTAACCTTTTTATATACGATGATTATTTTCTAGCCTTGATATTCAAAATGGATAATTTTTTATTATTCATGGTTCCATCAATTTATAAGTTTTGATAATCCTTCTGAATATCTTTAATTTGATCTTTTTAATACTGTTATTATTTTAATGACGAGATAAAGTACTTTGAACTAATTTATTAAGACAATTTTGGATCTTGCATTAAATAATACAAAACAGTATCTGATATCTAAGCTTCAAAAATTAAAGATGATAATCTTCTATTAATATTTTTTCTATTAATATATTTTCTTTCTTGAGTTTAATTTTTTCTATATTAAATTATAATTTTTGTTTTATTAGGAAAACCAGTCAACATTGGACATTGATAAAGCATATGAGTTGATTTATTGCATCCAACACAATGTAAATGGAATTCATCAAATCTACCAGAAAATTTGACAAGATCTTTTAATTAACAATATTTTTCCTATAATTCAAATGATATATACATATCCATATTTTTTTGCAATGTTTTAGAAATCAATTTTAGATATTTTTAAAATCCTAGATGATGTCAATGATCTACAATCAATTTCATAATTTTAATCCAATAGAAATTCTTATTATCCAAATATCTAATCTTATCCAGAAATGATTTGGATACTTAATATATTGGCTGATCCTTCTGGAATCTCAACAAAATATTCAATTTCACCATCACATAATATATATAAAAAATTGCTGGGATCATTTTTTTAAAATATTGTATTATATGGAACTAATTTTTCTTCTACAAATTTAGAGGCTAATGCTGAAATAAAATCTTCATTGAAGTTCTCTTTAAAAAAAGGTATTTTTGAGATACTTTTCATATTTAGATCTATCATCATTTCCTAGAAAATCAATTGGATTGCAATACATTATATAGATGAGATGGAAGTTATTAATTAAATTTATTAAGATCTAACTTATTTTCATTACTTTAATCTTTCCATAAAAATTCAAAAAATCTCAAAATTTTAATTTATAATTTATTATTATAACCTCTTACTCTTAGAAATTACTTAAGATCATTTAAATCAACTCTTATTTAATGATTTTTTGATTATAATTATCCAAGTATTTAACCAATACTATTAATTGAATATCCAAAAGTACAGCATGAAACTATAGCAACAAAAATTAGATAGACTTTTTCTATTAAATTTTAAGGAGTTATATCTCCATATCCTATAGTTGTCATAGTAACTATACTCCAATAATATGTGCTTAGCTATTTTATAAATTATAACTTTTACATATTTAATAATCCAAGTTTCATTTACCAAATTATTAGTTATTAACCATGAAGTTTCCTAATCTAATAAACCTACATAATACAATCCACAACAACATATATGAGATTAATATAAAATAACATAAATCAATCGAAACAGATCATATGTTACCCAATAATTAGTAGTTAATTCCATTCTATCTATAATAGATTCCATAATCTCTGGGATAGAAAAACCTTTCATTATCAAAAATAAATATAATGGCAATTCAGTTAGACCAATCAAATATATAATTGCTGGTACAATAATCAGAAGATTAATCAATAAATCTAATAATTATTTGGATATTACGGTTTTTATAGAAGTTGGCCATGATTTTATTTCGATCTTTTACAAGATAACCTAATTCATAATAGCATGTATTCAATTTTATTAATACATCAAATAAATAGAGGTAGAATGGAATTTTAAATAGAAATTCTTCACAAATTTAAAATTTCTCAGGTGGATAATTTTCAAAATCAAATGAAAACCTTACTGTAATATAAAGTATGTTAAGATTTATGTTAAGGAGTAGAATTAAATTCCAAACAATAAGAAATATAGATTCTGGTTCTAAAATGATCTTTAAATTGATAATTGAATCTAATAATCCTTTCATATAACAGCATTTGTAAAGATGTTTTTAAATAAAGTATTTTAATCTAGATGATGGTTAAGGTTTCTTAATTTATTTAATTATACTACCATATATTTAAAGTAATCATGTAACAAATAGTAATTGAAGTCTGCTGCTTTATCACCTATTATTCTGAACATGTTTCCATCCAACAATGAAAACTTAGATGCAAAAGGACTTCGAGTAATTAGAGAAATAAATCGAAGTACTTATATTAATACTAGCAATGCTTTATCTCTCCAGATTCTATTTTGAAAAGAAACTATTTTATGATTTTGCAAAGTCTTTAAATTAACTGTTTTTAAGAATGCAGGTCTTTAAGGTTGTTTTGGGATTGAAGGCTAAGTCTTTAGTGGAGCACGCTCTGTATAAGATCCTAATTCTGAATTCATATTGTTAGACAGACTTTTTATTTATGATAAGAAAAATAAAATTGGTAATATGCATATAAATAATCAAAAATTAAAATCAATATATATTCAACTTGAAAAGAAGACATAATGAACAGATCTTCATGATATCATTATTAAAGCTACATCTAAAATTATGGAAATTATTCTTAATTTGAAAAAATAATAATATTTAATAATTAGTTTCTAATATTTATCATTTTATTCTTTTTTGCTTACGATTCTATATTTAATCTCTTTATTAAAAATTATATTTCTTAATACAGAATAAGTTAATGTATTAATCTTCCAATTCACTATATTATAAAATGAATAAGAAAGTATATATTTTTTTCATAAAAGATATATGAATTCTTTAATAGATTTCATAATTGCAGAGATAGAATATTATTGAATTATATTCATAGTGAGAAAACTCAATGAATTATTTTGTAATATAAAGGATAATAAAATAAATGAATTAATTAGAAAAAACTCCTAATTAAAGATTGTAGAGAACTTAAAGTTAATAAGATGAAAAATGGTTTAAATAATTACATAGAATTTCTTCTTCTTTAAAGTATTGTTTTATTAGTAAATTAGAAATTTAAAAACAACACAAGAAAGAAATGTATATATTAAAAAAGTTGCACGTTAAAGAGAATTAGATAAAATCATTCATGAAAAATAAGTTATCTAATAAAAATCATATTTATTAGATAGAAGCAAAAAGAAATTTCTTTCTTTAATTAGATGCAAAGATCCTGAAACATTTTTCTTAAAATTTAAGCCAATCTAAAAACCCTTAAATATGTTAAGAATGGTTTCAGAATTAAATTTAGCCGAAAAAGTTCAAATGAACCTTAATCAAAAATCAAAACATGAAGATGAATCGAGTCCTATAGTAAATAGGACTTTTAATAAGAATAACAAAATGTAAGAAAAATGATATTAATATAGGGGAGGCACTAAAGTAACTGAACTAAATGTATCAAAGGAATCTTCTTAAGGTGATATTATGAAGCCTAGAAAGACCTTAGAATATTTATTTTAAGATAATAAGAAATAGAATCCACTTTTATAAAATGAATATGATTTGGAGAAAAGTAAGTCAAAAAAATAATCTTAAAGCAGATCATATTCTCAATATTCGAAATCGAACATGAATACTCTCTTAAAAACTGATATCAATACTCTCTTAACAGAAATGGATTAAGTTAATACTAAAATGAATAATAAATTACTTAAAATAAGTAAAGTTTCAAGTTAAATGTAAGGTTATTATTAAAATTGTAGTCTAGCTAGAAATGGAATATTTTTATAAACTAAAAACATACCTAATTCTATAAAAGTAAATTCATAAGACAATATATGTTTAGAAGATGACAGTAACATTTTATATATTCTAGATTCTTCATTGGCTTCTCATACTGAATTGATGTTAGATAATTTGTATGGAAATACTAAAAAACTAAATTCAGATACTAAAAATTTAGAAATGAGAAAGAAGGAGTATGAACAGGAGTCAATTAAATTATTCTATAAAAAAATTTATTGCAAGATCTGATATATAATTTTTATTAATATTATTGTCGATGACTCATGGTAAAAAGTATTCCAATTATTAGTAATTGTCAGTGGACCAAGTGATTTCAATCTAGAGACTATAGCCATAAATAACAATGGAATTTGGTTAAATCGAGTAGTGTTACCTAAAATTAAAGATAAAGAAATAAGCATAAAATTTGTTTACATTAAATGTTGCTAATAGAATACATATATGATAGATAGTAAATATTCTGACAAAATTAGTCAATCAAAATTTATGGGGCTTTGGAGAATCATTATATGGACAATTAGCAGAAAGGGTTTCATCTATTAAAACACCAATCAATTTATCATAGTTAATGAATGTT